TCCCTCTTTCTCATGCCTTTCTCCAGAAAAAAAACTCATGCATTTGCAGTAAGGCAGAGCTTGGGCATATGGAGTGGGTCTGTTGCCCGCTGGTTGTGTAGCCAGGGGAAGCTGCCGCCTCTCCTCCTCCTGCTCCCCAAGGGAAAGGCAGCCCCTGCCACAGCACAGCTCCTCTCAAGCAGCTGCTACTAGGCTGGGACAATGTGAAATGTGAGCTTAAACTTCTCTGTTTGCCCAGTCCATGTGGAGCTGGGCCTGTCCATGACTCCCCAGCCATGGCCAGGCAGCTCCGCAGGCACCACGCAGTGCTCTGCTGGGGCAGGTTCCTCGCCTGCCCTTCCCTTACCGGGGGGGGTGTCCCCCCCCGTGTAGACCATCGAGTGCTGCAGCACTTCCCAGCACCGCTGCGGGCCACCGTGAGGTCGGCCACCTGCCACATCTGGTTTAGTCATCATAACCACTACGACATCTGACGTTTAAGAGGGGGACAGGAATTCAGACTTCTGCTTACTTATTTTCCAGTGATACTGATCTTGAATCTCACCCAATTAAAGGGAGAAGCATTACAACGTTCAAGCTTATCTACCTGTAACAGACTGTCCGTCATTTCACTTGCACTGTTTATGATGAAAACCTTAGGATTTATTATTAGTTTTTAGGTAAGGTTTCCATCCCCACCTGACATTTCCTTTTTTTCCTCCCAGGCCAGGGTCTCGGACCAGGACACGGACAACAGGCTCATTGGGCAGCAGCTCTATGTTAACATCAAGGTAAGCCTTACACCAGGAGGCTGCTCTTTGCATCCTTCTGCAGCACTCGTCGCTCTCTTGCCATGGTTTAACGTGACCTCTTACTTGCATATGTAGGAAAACAACCGCTGCTACATGATGAAGAGGATTGTGGAGATTATCGTGAAAGATGTCCTCCTCACCGAGGCCAAGGACCAGTACCCGTATGCTGAGGAGGTGGCACAGTTCTTGGCTTCCCTGACCTCGGAGCTGAGCAGATGTGTGAGTACCGTTGGATTTCTTTCCCTCCTCTGAGCTGTGACTCTCGTTGCTGCTCCTGAATCTCAGAATGCCGCGAACAGTGGCAAAAGGCAGTGATATGAAAGGAAACCTCAGATCAAAGATATTGAACTCGAGGTTGATAGAAAGGTGTGAAAAAGAAAAAAATCAAAACAGCACATTGTTGCATACAACTGCTAATGTGATGTCTGGATGTTTTCTTTTTTTTTTAGAAATTCTCAGGACACAGAGAGCACATTGAAAAGAACCTGGAAGAAATGAAGAGCAAAATGAAACAGGTACATTTTTTCCCAGCATTTAAAAAGAGCAGTTCCAAACCCCAGCCATTTAGTTGGATTAAGGCTGACCTAATTATGAAACAAACTCTGGAGATTATTTAGGAGATGAAGCCTGCAGGGACATTAAAGAAAGGATTAGTGATGTTTCCACTTCAAGCCCTCCTTCACATGTCGTAATAACTCTCTGCACATGTTATGGTAGTTAAAACCTTCAGAAGTCAGGTTGCAGGTAACTGTATATTCTAGACTAGATTTGAATGAGCTAGTTTATATTTAAGTTATAATGACTCCAGTAGAACTACTTGAGAGAATAAGGAGAGTAAGTCCTTGATTCAGTTTCTGTGACAAACCTAATTTCAATTTTCTGAGAAATAATGAGATGCTAAAACTTACGTTCTGCTCTTTTCTAGTTGGGAGAGAATGGAAAGACTAAAGCCATTGGAGAACTGGATTTACTGTTCGACTACATAGAAAATGCCTGTACTGATGCCCCAAAGAAGGGAGGGAACAAGAAAAACTGAAAGAATTTCAGATTAGACTTGAAGAAATGTCTCCAAAAAACTCTTGCTATAATTCAAATTGATTAACTATTGCGGACAAAAACCCCAACAAACTCTTATAGATGTAATATGTTTTTCACTTGTACCAAACATAGCAAACTACATGGGGACAGACAGGATGCACATTGTTGCATTCTTGGAAAACGAAAATTCCAGGACAGTGTTTGCATCTGTATTTCAACAGAGGGCATTAGTTATTTTCAAAGGCACACTTCTGTCCTTCTCATCTCCATAGGAATAAGGCAACAGTTTCTGTATTTATATGCCGAGATTTGACACCTATGAATCAGCTTTGGTCAAGGTAGGTAGTGATACATAGCCAGGATGTTTTGAGACTTTTACTTGGAAATCTGTAGTGCATATGTTGCCCCCTTCTGACCTTTACCTGAAAAGTTGTTATTTCAGACTAATTCAGAGATAATTTTTGTCATTCATATTTAATGATAACTTATTTTAAGGTAATAATTATACAGTACTTTTATTTATATAGATTAATTGAAAAAAAAATCAAGGAAATGTATTTATGAAGATGTACCAGAGGGTTTAAGGGAACTATGAAACTAAAACTGCTGTGTGATATTTATAAACAGATGGATTGTTTTATAAATGCTTACTCCTTAATTTATTATAATAAATATTTTGGTCCTCAAATACTGCTATTTACAGAGCTTTCTTTTTTATTCAAATGCAAGGGAGGTGCCTGTGGGACTGCTGGGCCAGTGGCTGTATTCTTGTACCCAGGAAGGGTGCAAGCTCGGTCTGGGGACATGCTGCTTCTCCACCACCCTGTATCACAGGCCAGGGCTTTCAGGGAGCGCGTGGGTCAGCCTTTCTTGTGGGAGGTGGTGGGAAAAATAGCATCACTCCTGAGAGTCATTGGTTTGGTTCATTGATTCTGCCTCAGTACACCCATAGATGAGATCCCATCTCGAATAGCTGCTGGGGAAAAGTCTCAAACTGTCCCCCCTGGGTCAGATGAGATGGAGACAAACAGGCAGCAGATGCTACTGAAAGCTCGGAGCGCTGTGTTCCTACTGCCCCAAAGGCACGCTGAGCACAAACGGTGCTCTGCAGCATCAGAGGTTTGAGAGTGCTTCAGAAGAGAAGTGCTTGGTGCCTACTCTCGACACAAGCTCCCAGACAGAAAAAAACCCCCAAGTCACTGAAGAGCAGTTTATTCCATCATTGTCATGTCCTTCAGCAATGTCCCCTGAGCAAAGGCAGAGGAGTTGCTCTAGTGCAGCCAGGGACATTGGTGGCTGGACCAAAGTTAAAGAGGTGAAAAGCATCCAAATAATGAGAAAGCCAAATGAAATATGTAATAGCAGATTGTCAGCAACTGGTGAAAACTTCTTGAGCAAGGCTTTAGCATTTATTCGTCACAGCGACAGGCATCCTGTCCACATCTTAAAAAAAAAAAAAAAGCGCACCCTGCCCTGAATATCCTCAGACGAAGGACTTGGGGTGGCAGTGTAGGTGAGGAGAATGAAGTTTTGTAAACAGAGCCTATCAGGGACACACAAATGCAAAAATGCTTGCTAAAAGGATATGTAGAAGACACTTCGTGAATAGATACTGTCGTATGGGAAAAATGTTGGCAGGAAATCTACCTTGATCTACCTTTGTAGCTTCATCAATTAAATTAAAAGTGAAATTAATTAGTCCCAAAATAGTTAGTCTCAACATGTCTCACATCAGCTGTTGAAGTTAGATGGCATTGAAGTGGGATTAAGCTATCCCATGTTGTTCCTGAACCAGGGCGATTTTGAGATAAAAGCATCCATCCATACCTAATTTGAACAAGGTTTGTGTGAACTGACGTTATAACACTTTCTTGTGGGAACCCACATACTAGACTGGCATATGATCTGTCTGGGTGATGGAAGTGTTAGGGGTTTAACCTTTGCTATATTCAGTAGGGTATTTATTTTCTTTCTTGTGGGATAAGCAATGGTGTTGTCAAGAGCTCTTGGTCAACATCCTTTCTCTTACCACTCGAACTTGCGACAGCTGACAGCAGAGGGAGGGAAGTTAAGCACCAAATGGGGAGTTCATCTCGCTGACCTTTGACAGGCACAGTCTATCCCCAAGCTATGCTCGTCTCTCTTACAGTCAGTGGAAGGCAACAGGAATTATCCAGGTGTCATTCATCTCATCTACATTAGAGGTTTATGAAGATTGTGCCTTTTGGCAGAATAACATGACTTTGCCCTAAAAGTACCTGTTTTCTTCCTTGATTATAAATAGAGATTAGACCATGAACCACACATGCTGTTCCTCATTGATATCATCTCTTCACAAACGGATAGTTAACTTATTTCCTTCTTCTCCTTCCTTTAGACCTCTTCCACGTTGTCCATCTTGAGCTGCCCTACCTAGAAATGTCAAATCAATCTCTTAAACTTTCCATACTAGGGCTAAACCCAGATGAAAACCCATTTGTCCACAAAAGCGTAAAAACGAAGTCAAGTATTTAATAACCTCTCCAACCTTGAAAACCACCAGCTGGAAGACTCTATCATGGAAACCTCATGACCTGGAGCCCTGGAAATACCACATAGCAAATTTTGCAGAATTTCCTTCATAAGTTTTCTTGCAGGGCACGTGTGACTTGTGGGTGTGTAAAGGATGACGGGTGATGGTCAGTTTTGAACAGACAAAGGAAGTAGAAATCGGAGGAGATTTCCCTTACAACCAGGGGAAATGTCTGGGACAAACAATTACTGACCAAAAGAAAATAAGGACGTAGTTTCAGTCAGGCAAGCTAGGTTTCAATTCAGTCAATAGTTACAGCTGAAAAAAGGAAAATAATGTTGAAGTATTTTGTTCTGACATTTTCTAAATATTTCAGTTTTATGCTTCAAAATAGCATTTTGATTTAGATTTTTATGTACATTTTCTTTCAATGGTTGAAAAAAGTTTTGAAAGCAAAATGAGCTCTTTCATTTTGAGTTGGACAAGTGCTTTAGGCTTACCCAAAATGAATTTTTTTGGTTTAATTTTTCGGTTGGGTCACCAAAGAGAAACTCCGTTGTTCACGCAATTCTGATTTCCGTTGCCCTATTTTTCTTTCCTCACCCCTCCTCCAAGTCATGGACTGTTTATAATTCCCAGAGGTCTTCAACCTAGTGCTGTTAGGGAAGGCACCTGCTCTACATCCTTCATTGAGGACACCTCTGTTGTAGAGGCTGGAGGATCTCTTCCTGAGCAAAAATTGACAGAGCTGTCTACTGCCAAATTTGCATTTTTTTGGCTCTTCCTCCCCTTTGCTTACATTAGGTGATGAGAACAGACTTTTTTTTGCTACATAAATAAATAAAAAACTTTTAAACTACCTCTGAAACTTCATATTGTGAAGACAGAGGAACCCAAAGCATGAATAGAAGTTTCCACATCCTGCTGAGTAAGTATTGGGGACAGTTTAAGAAATGTCTGTTAAATACATTGCATGGAGTGTTACTCAGTTATGAGATTTACATATTCAGTATCTGAACATATACTCCTTAAGTGACCTAAAATAATAGAGGGCTGATATTTCCAATTTGCTGCTGGAAGTGTATTCTAGACAATGCAAGGAGCTGAAGCTATCCTGATGGTAAACCAGTGGCATGTGATTATGTCAGCCTATGCTTTAAAGCACAATTAGCTAAACAATTAGCTGCTTTGAAGAAGGTATGGACTCCATCGAATAACAGTAAATGCCTGATAATGTTTTCAGTCACAGCCATCATCAGTACCCAATGGATGTTTGTAAAATTGGTGTAATCTGGAGGAGAACTGGCCTACTAATGTGGAGCAGGATTGGCAGAGACATTACAGTCAATCTCAGGCTTATGAATGATGCTGCCAGGAAGAAGGTAATGACCATGGAAAGAAGGAAAACCTACAATGCAGTTCTGTGGGACCCAGAGTATTTTTGGCAGGCCACTACTCAATGATATGTAACATAAAATAAGACATTTAGGTTGGAAAGTAGTGCAACCTCTCAGGGCGTCCAGACCAGGATTCTGTGCCCTTCAAGAATTTGTTAGGAAGTCTTATTTGGGTGAAGTAAATTACAAAACAGAAGCTATGCTAAGGCTGATGGCACTTCTTAACACATATCCATCTGTAACAACTTTTTCTTGGTTAACATGCAGCTGCAGACCTTATCAGATGAACTGTATGAATTTCACCACTAGTAAAAGTGTTAAACAACTATGTAAGTGAAAAGATTTCTTCTGAAGTCTAGGGAATCACTCTCTTTGTTTAACCTTTCAATTTCAAATTGCTGGCCAAATTCAAAGATATCAATTGCTATAATTTAATCTGAATTCACTGATGAAAGGCTTAGAAAATAAGATACTCATACATCTTTCCTCCTCTAAGGAGAAATTAAAAAAAATTATTTTGAGAAGAATTGTCCATTTATCTTCAGCAAATGAACTCCTGAGACCCAAATGTAAACATTGTTTGAGTATGAAGGATTAAGGCGCAGCATCAAATATTTTCAAGATCAGGCTTTTTTTCTTCTCAAGGATTGAGTAAGGAGAAAGGGCAAATCTTCTAAACTAAAAACTTTTTCTGTTTTGCTCAGGGCAACATGAATTGAAATATTTTGAAAAAACAGACTGAAAAATGGGTCTTTGACTAGCTGACTTGAAACTGTTGTATGGTTGTTTCTGCAAGAACCAGTAAGGTTCTTCAATGGAAATTGTAGCCCTAGTTTCAAATGACTGAATGCAAAATTATATCCTTTTCCAAAAACTGCAAAATTGCACTGATTTAAAGTTTATTTTGTCCTATAGTTTTCCAAAAGAGCTTTACTTCTGACTTCTACAGCACATTTAAGCAGTGGTGATGATGTTCATTAAACTGTGAAAGAAATGGGGCAATTATGTGTCTGTAGTAAAGTCTAGAAGCTAAGCAATCATAAAGATTGACTTTCTGATTTACCTTTTGCATTAGGCCTTGATGTGTAA